TTTTTACCCGCATTATCGCGAGGAATTTTAAGGCCCCTATACAGCCACGCAACCTATCATTGTCTCATCTCTACTCATCGAAATGGCGCTGTTTGGCCATCAATTGGCCCTTGCGCCACAAAGCACCACACATCATCATCATCTTCTCTTTTTTTTCTTTTTTTAGTTCTCTCTCACTCTCGCAAACATCTTTCAAAGCGAGAGGGACGCGGCAGCAACGAAGTTTGGAAGTTCATGTTAGTATAACTCATCCCCTGATGAAGGGAGGACCCCTCCCGAAACTGTTGGGAAATAAAAATATATATATATCTTGTTGACAACGCTACCGTTGTGCCATATCCCATACCTTCACGAAGACTAACTACCCATTAAATTATTACTCCCACTATATATATATATATATATATATATATATATATATATATATATATATATATATATATATAAACACACAGTCGAATCTTGCTAATTAGAACTCGGATGGGCCCAAAATTTGTTCGGATTAAAAGAAGTTTGAATTAATGAAAATAAATAAACGAAGGGCTCTTCATGCAGCAGCGCATGTGCATTGAGCTAACACATGAGGGGGAAGTTTCATACGACTTACATTTATTTACAAATCACAGGACATCCATCATTGATTGAAGTAATCGGTGATGCGCGTCTGCACACGTTTGCCTTGCAGCAAGTCAATCAATTTCCCACGCAGCTTGCAAAGCATTCTTATTTCGGCTTCAAGATTCTCCTAGCAAGAGTAGTTGCGCTCGGTGTCCAGCGCCGACACTCTTGAAAGACAACGACTGCGTCCGCTACGCAGCCACAGCGGGGCCACCACGTGACGAGAAAGGAGGAGCATCTCCACGCGGAGAGAAGCAGATCGGCATTTGAGAGAAATCCATGGAGGAAGGAAAAAACCAACACTCCACGGCAGCTTTTTTTTTTTTTGCTCTCCTCGCACTGTTGTTGAAAAGAGAAGGGTTGTGTGGCAGGGAACGGTAAAGGGGGAAGCGTGGCACCGGCGCGTCGCAGATCGGCGTTTGAGAAGGTGCAAACATTCCACTGCAGCCTTTTCTTTTATTTTCCTTCACGCGCAACGTTGAGGTGTAGGAGGTGCCGCCCCGGGATTGGGCAAGGTGCTGAGGGCATTTTCGGAGTGCGCTATGTTCGAATTAACCATTGCAAGTGCTTGCGCGTTCGAATTATCGGGCGTTTTCCCCCATTGGAGTACACATAGCTTTGACGGGACCTCACCGCGATTTCGAATTAAGCGTGTTAAGTTCGAATTATGAGACTTGACTGTGTGTGTGTGTGTGCATACATACATATATACATATACTTTGCAAAAAAAAAAGCTTCAAAAAAAGAAAAAATGCATATTTTTCATCTTTAAAAAAAAAAAGACATTTTGATTGTGTGGTTTCCATTGCCAGAACCACGTTATGGTTATAAGGCATGGTGTAGTTAGAGGCTTCTGAATAATTTTTGGCTGCTAAAATCAAAGTGATGACTTAGCTTTGTGAGTTTTGTGTGCTCTTGGCAGTCGAATCTTTAGTCAAATCATCTTAAAAAGAATGAGCTACATGAAATATTTCTAGCATTGAATGTGTGCTAACAATCCCACGCATTTCCGTGTTCACTTGAAAAGTGGTTTGAATTTTGCATTTTCTTCTTTTGGTCTTTATCATAGCGTTTTTTGAGTAACATTGAGTAACCATGCCATTTTACACAGGTGTGATATCTTTCATATCAAGCTTGATATCAGAATTGTATCAGAAGGCAAATTCAAGCATGCTCAGGCAGGATTATGGACTGATATGTAAGTTCTGGATAGTGCACTACTACTAATTAGGAAATATATAGGGATATAATTTCATGGGAGTGATGCAGCTGTTTGTGTCTTCCTTTTTCTAGACTCCATTGTTTTTGCGCTGTTTTTTTCTGCTATGTTGTACGAACACGGTCAAGCACCCATTTTATATGCAATTTCTGTATGTCATTACCATTTTATTATTTTGCTAGATGCTGTCTGTGGAAGTAGTATACATTATTTGTTGTAGAAATTCTTACAAATGTTGTATGAGGCTTGTTTTTGAAGCCTTTACTGAATGTTGTGGTCTGAAAATATTGTATATACTTGTGTAATGACCCCGCCACAGTGGTGTAGTGGCTAAGGTACTCGGCTGCTAACCCGCAAGTCGCGGGATCAAATCCCGGCTGTGGCAGCTGCATTTCCGATGGAGGCGGAAATGTTGTAGGTCCGTGTACTCAGATTTGGCTGCACGTTAAAAAACTCCAGGTGGTCGAAACTTCCGGAGCCCTCCACTACAGCATCTCTCATAATCACATGGTGGTTTTCGGACGTTAAACCCCACTTAATCAATCACTCAATCTACTTGTGTAAGGCCGCACCCATGTAACAGCTGCACCGTAAATATTGAAAACCCCCCTCACCCCCCTTTCAAAGTAAAATATATTTAGTAAAAACAGTAAATAAAGAGGAGAAAGATAAGGGCAATGAATAGCATGCACCATCGCAAAAGTGAGTAAGCTTATTTTTTTGCTTGCTATACAAGCATGTACTGCAATTCAATAAATGTGAGTACAGCTGAAAACACTAAAAACAAAATTGCTCTTTATATCTGCGTAATGTCTGCACCTACGATTCTTCCCCCCCCCCCCCCCCCCCGCTCTCAAGTAAAAAAAAAAAACTCTTGACGAGCTATTACAGAAGTATATACACCACTTTTGACCACTGTGAAAGAAAAACGACTGTGCAAGAAAAGCTTCCAAGACTTTTCCTTTTGCAGTTGATATTGTGCCTAAGTTTTTCAGCAACATTTAAGCAGTGTGTGATGACTCTCAGTGGAGTGCAAAAGGTTAATTAAATACTTTCCAAGTTTCTCGATTTTGTCGGGAGACTCCCAAATTTGAAGTGATTCTCCTGATTTTACTAGCACTCCCATAAATCTCATGAACAAGTACGCTAGCGCCGCTGTGAACAGAAAATAAGTAACCAATAAGGACGTCGGTTCTAAAATTTTTTGATGCTGGGGAGAACACTTGTCACTTTTTCCATGGTTCACTAGTCTTATGCATGTAAGCTCACAAAGATTGGTAAGGGGCAACTAACTGTAACGGGACACAGAAGATTGCGCATTTGTACAGACACTGTATAATTGTGAGCACCTGTATGATTGCTGACGTCTACAACATTTACTAGCAGTTGTTCATTAATGATGTCGCTGTGGCTCTAAGAAATTATACATTATTATGTACAACTGTTTCCTTCTGTCGCGTCTTGCTTCCCAATTAGCGAATCTTCCAAGTTTTGAGGTCTCAAGTTTGGCAGTTATGTAATTAGCTTTTTGCCATGGATGGCTTTAACCCTTTGTGGGATCGTCAATATTCTTCACATGATAACCAAAATTATGCCTGAGAGATTCTTAAATAGCGTGTTTAGAAATACTTTGAAGCAAGTTTTACCAAAATATGACCATTAGTTCGTGAGAAAAATTGGCATGTATCTGTCTGATTCACCCGTGAAGTGTCTTTGAAAAAGTAGGACACCACCTGTCCTGTTGTGTGACGAGGGCACCCAGCTGTAATCCGTTTGCCAAATTTCTAGAATGAAAGGCCCCTATACAAGCAGTACAGAGGGAGACTTCAAAAACTGTGCAAAGAAAAATTTGGGGGTACCTTATTTCCATATGTGGTACACTATCTGCTTTTACCTAATCTGTTCAGCCCAGTGGCTCTGTCTGAAGTCTTCGCACACATTAACTGTTTTAGCTTTTTTCTGTCTCTTTGGTTTGTGTAGGTAAGGACAAACACCTGTTACACCTGAATTTCTGCCCACATATAAAATTACGGTCATGAATCACTGCAAACCACATCGACGTGACTTCACTGAATGCTTTGAATCCTGTATGTTTGTTTACAACTGCTGCGTCAGATTTGTGAACTATGTTCAGGCCCGAGATATTAGCCTTTCTCATAGATCTTGTGCATTTTCTTCTCCTTCTCTTCCTGGCTGTCTAAAGCATCAATATTGTCATTCTTTTACTTTGGCCCTCAATTTCAGAAATAGCATTTTAGCCGCAGCTTTGGTGTAATTGCCATTGCTCTCTTAGTGGTAAAAAGGATATAAAAAACTTAAAAACTTTCTCTAACAAAGTGCTGCTTTGTTATACAATGATGCCCTTCTAGCTTGATGAAAACAGCTGTGAATGCATGTTATGTAGTTAGGTTGACTGAGGAATTGCTTCATCATTTGTCAAGTGTATTTCCTACATGATTTTTAGCTGATATATTGCTCTAATTTTGAGAGCAAATCCATAGTTGCATGGCAAAATTACTTCTCTTGCCCCTCCGTGGTGGTCAAGGGGCTAAGGTACTCTGCTGCTGACCCGCAGGTCGCGGGATCAAATCCTGGCTGCGGCTGCTGCATTTTCGATGGAGGCGTAAATGTTGTAGGCCTGTGTGCTCAGGTTTGGGCGCACGTAAGAACCCCAAGTAGTCAAAATTTCTGGAGCCTTCCACTACGGCGTCTCATAGTCATATGGTGGTTTTGCGGAAGTTAAACCTCGCATATCTGTCTGAAATTACTTCTCTCAAGATTCAGAAAAAGAGAAAAATACCATAAATCTAGAACATTAGCTATGTTGCACACGATGTGACACAACTTTTAAAAATAAGTTCAACACTACAAAATGAATTTAAACTGAACACACCACCAATACTATGTATCGTGAATGTGCCAAATATATTTTTTTGGTTTCCTAAATGTTCCTGAAGCACTGTAGCGGGAAAGCATTGAGCCGATGTCAACATGAAACGGCAGAGAAAGCTTCTATTGAAGAAAAAGCGGGTCACATTCATTCGAGCCATTATCCTTCAATGGGTTAATGGGCAGGTGGATATAGAAACTTTTTGGAGTCTGTTTTGACCTAAGCTTTCTGTATGATAATCAATACTCAATCAGCGAACCTAATCTCTTGCAGGTGGTGATCCCGCCTGCCAGCCAGACCTCAACAGTGTTCCACTAAAAGTTGTGGTGAGTATGTGAAAAGATGTGCATAAATTTGATTAATCCTCTGTACAGATTAGCAAGATGGCCTTCTATTTGTCTGAAGATCATCTTGCTGTGCTGTGTAGTGGCGTTTTCCGCAATGTTGATGATTGTTATATTTTTCAATACTGGCATTCACTGCGAGGGTCTTGATAAAATTTTCATGTTATTCAGGCAGTATGGTATGGGCCTCGCCTTTACATACGAAATTCCTAAAAATAACTTGAACTACAGCTTCTGAACCTAAGACTAATCTTTGGAGAGAATCATATGTGCTGGAAATATGACCCCAGGTCTAATAAAGGGACACTTGAAGAGGTTTTGAATTAGCAAATTTATTGCAAATTTGGCATTTGGGACCTCTTACAACAAGTCTACGGAGTTTTTTTTTTTTTGCGATGTTTTAATTAACAACGGCGCTATGAGCGAGCAAACTTCAACCAAGAAACCCCCCCCCCCCCCCCCCCCAGCACGCGCGCGCACAGTGGCGAGCACTGGAGAGAGAGACGTGTGGGGATGGGACGTAACCTTGAGCGTCGAGCCGCTGCCCGGCGGGCAACTATGCGCAGGGCCGCCTGCATCGCTCAGTCAGTTCATCTTGTTTACTTCGCGGCTGTGCCTTGTTTCTGCTGCTGTCTCCTGTCTGGCGAAGCATCAGTTCTGCCAGTTAGTGGGAATTTCTTGCCATTGCATCTTTCTCTTATTCTGATTAGAGACTTTCACCATCCGTCAGCCCCGCCACGGTGGTCTAGTGGCTAAGGTACTTGGTTGCTGACTGGCAGGTTGTGGGATCAAATCCCGGCTGCGGCGGCTGCATTTTCGATGAAGGTGAAAATGCTGTAGGCCCATGTGCTCAGATTTGGGTGCACGTTAAAGAACCCCAGGTGGTCGAAATATCGGGAGTCCTCCACTAAGGCGTCTCTCATAATCATATGGTGGTTTTGGGACGTTAAACCCCACAAATCAATCGCCATCCGAGATTCACTAGTTTTGTTTTTGCAAGGTTGAGGGGACTCACGATGCCAAGTTACTGTGTGGTTGTGATGAGGTCGGTTTTCACAAGTTTCCTCGGGGTCAGAAGATGGCTGCAAAATGGGCCGCTTAAAAGAAAATACTTCAGACAAACGAGATGAAGTGAGCTGTGAAATCCAAGATCAGCTGATGTTTCCGCACTCTGCCCGCGCCTAGCGCAGACCGTGCCAATAGGCTAAAAGCGAGTGCCGATGCTGCTGTTTCTTCAACATACTTGCACAGCGGAAGGCTAAGAGTAGTTACGACATAACTACAGAAGAGACAAGGACCGAAAGAGCGCTAACTTCAACTCTCACCAACTAGCCCAAGCATCTGTCTTATCATGCTGTTTCTTATCGAATTTGATATCTGCTGATAAGCGTATCATTTGTAACAGTGAAATTAAGCACTGGCAATGAAATTCAGCACTGGCGAGCATTTTATATGTGCCAGTCTGTTTCCGACGGGGGTGAAGGCTGGCTGGGACTCGCTTCCCTGTGCCGCTTGTCATCGTCCTTAAACTGGTGACCGGCTCAAACATGTACGGATGTACAGCGACCTCGGTCCGACTTTCACAGTTCGCCATACTTACAGCAACTGCCTGATTTCAACAGAAAGTGGTGGTGGAAAGTAAAGGAAAAGGCACCTAATTCCTGCAGCTCGGTAGGGAGAACGGCGCAGTGCCTCAACAGATACACGGCATTACCTGCCAGTGGTCGCAGTCAGCTGTCTTCACCTTCCTGACAGTGACGTCGTAGAGCTTCGACCAATTGCAGCGGTGGTGAAACTCTGGTTGGCAGCTGCAGGCGCCTGCTGCTCGTTTTTTCGGCAGAATAAAGTAATTTGCATTGGTTTATGCAAATTTTCGACTTCACTTTTGAGTTTGCCTCATGAAATTGCGTATCATGACACCATAATCTTGTTTTTTTTTTTAACGTGTTTCAGCATCCCTGAAACACCCATCCTAAATTTTGGGCACCCATCCTAAATTTTAAATCCGGTCATTGCAAGGTCTTCAAGAGAACCATTGCGAAGGCCATCCTAAATGCGTCTCTGAAGAAATTGTTCATGCACGTGGCCGAACTCGCTTTTTGTGATCTGGTAAAACGCCTAATGGATGCGGGTCACCCTGATGCTGTAGTTACCCTGATGCAGTATGCGAACATATCAGTGGTAACGTCAAATACGTGAAAAGTAAAGGTAATAATACAAAATCTGATGAAACAAACAAAGTGCAGTGTTTCCTTACGTACATGGATTAGCGCACGGGTTTAGTAGATTCTAGGTACGGCGTCGATGTTCGCTTTTCTGTGAAACGCAGGATATGTCGCATCTGCATGATGATTGACTATGCCCCTAAGAACAAGCAGAGTAAAGGAACGTTCGCTGCTTATGTGACGCTGATGCTGTTGATGCTACACCAGTGGCATTTCACACAGAGAATTCGCTGCCATAGATTCAGACACAAAAAGCCTGCAATGTAGCCAGCTATATTGCCAACATATGGGGACACCGTAATAGTTAATCATAGGAACAAGCACATCCCCTCTGTTAAGAAGTTGTGTATGTCATTCCATTATCATGTGGAGGGGAGTACGTAGGGCAAACGAAACTGGTGTGTTGATGTTTGGCTGAGAGAGCATGAGCTCTCACTTCAAGGGGATGCGTGACTTCATCTGACGAATCACTGTAGGTCATGTGGGTGTCGTCCTATTTTGCCATTTTAACCTCTGCCATTTTTAAACACTCAAACAAATTGACAAGAGCAATTGCTGAGGACTATAACATATCGATAAGAGACAAGATCTGCATCAGTTAAGCGTCAGTTTTTCTGCATGAGAAAAAATTTAATTGTGTCGATCTTGAATGTCTTTTCATGGCGACGCTGCCGGAATGTTTCCTTGTGCATGTCGCGTTTTTTGCACTTGTAACAATCGAACATGGATACATAGAATTTGCATATATCAAATTTTCAGGTATGTCAAACTCTCAAGTTATCCCCTTGAAATTTCTTTGTAAAAGTATGGAAATTCGCACTTTTATATCTAACTGTATTTTTATCTGCCTTCGGATATATCGAACACCACGCGACCTGGAAGCTGTGCTTCGGCACTTGTCGCGCCCCATGATTTTGGTGGTAGAGCGGCTCTGCACACGAGTTGGGTGCACTTTGGTTCTCGCAGCACCTGGCGACCACCGCGCGGCCCTGTGCCTCCGTCCAAACCTGAAGCGCTCGAAAAAAGGTGAGGGCGAGAGCTCTCGGACTGCACGATCTTCTACTTGCGGAATGGCTTTTTTTGTTGTTGTTTCTTTCTCATCGTACCCGTCGGCTTGGAAAGCAGAAACGAAGGAGCCGACGACCTCTCCTTTAGCCTTTAAATTTTTTTGTTGCTATTTTGAGTTTTCAGCCAACCACAGCTCGCGCCTTTTGCTGTTGCCCTTGCCGGTAACCATCGCCTCCCAAGCGCTTTGTTGCCGGAGTTCGCTTCCATTGTTGCGTCGTCTACGCATCGTTCTCTTGCGTGCTTGATGTGCCAAGCCGCTGCCGACTCCTTGAATTGTCGACATCTCGTGTAGCTATGGCCAGCGTTAAGAAGCGCAAGACCCGTGATTTTGCGATGAAGTTGAAGGCTAATCGGCGTGTTAAGGCAGGTGAGAAATGTTTGACTGTCACGAACGACTTCGGGATACCACGGAGCACTCTGAGTACACTGTTGAAGAACAACGCAGATATCGAGGCAAAGGGGCGGAGCAGCAAACGTTGGAAGCCTGTCATCTGACAGGCGGAACATGCGGAAACCGGCGAAGACGACGATGACGAGCGCTTAGACAACGCGTTTTGCAAGTTGTCTCTCTTCCCGACAGCTGTTCCACATGAAGTGTCTGCGGACGATTTCGTGGAAGCGGACTGCAATTCTCCGGCTGTTGCGAGCCTCGCTGACAAGGACATAGTAGCTGCAGTCGCAGGGACTTGGGATACCCAGGCCGACAGCTCAAGTGACAAGGAGGATCGTCTGGATGAGGTGCTGGCCACAGGCGCTTACTCCGTGCTGATGGCAGCAGCGTTCGGCGTTCATTTGCCGTTGTATTGGAAACATGGAGGAAACTGGGCTCTTGTAACTGGACAGCCTTAATAAGATTGAGACTAGCGTCTGCAACTTCATTTTGAAAATAAAAAAGCAGGCCAAGATAGACGATTTACACAATAAAACATTCTGTTGCGGCGTGTGTGCGGAATTAGTTGTCATTCTTGGATGCACCTACTGTTGGTGATGGTCTGCTACAGGTAAGCTCTCGGGGCCTGTGTTTTTTAGATATCGAATTTTCGATATATCAAACTAATTTACGATCTCCTTAGAGTTCGATATATCCGTGTTCAGCTATATATATGTTTCACAATTCACTTTTCAATAAATATCAGTCGAGAGTCGGTACCATGTCCTTTTTTGTGTTCGTGTTTCTAGTGTTGTGCTGTAAACTAAAGTCACGATGAATTCCAAACAATTGGCCAACTTGTCCTATTACTGCAAAACTGTTTCCGCCTGCGCATTCTTTGTCCACGCCTGGCAGGCTAACAGTTGTCCAACACTGCGTCAAAAGGAATTGTCGGAGCAAGCTGTGGGAAAATTGCACCCACAAGGTGAAAAAAGTAACGAGTAATGTGACATCACGTGTTACTGAGAAATGGTAATGCTAGTATGTTACCGAGCCGTTACAGTTTCGAAATGGTATCGAGTGCATCACTAAGTTAGTGATAAAAGTAACCAGGTACGGCTAACGGCCTTACTTGCAATATGTTACCGCCAGCACTCCTATGGTACGTAGTGCATAGCTAAAATTGGAGGACTACCAAAATAAGTAAAAAGTTTAGGCGAATTCGGTGAACACAACTCCCTCTGCTTTAGTGTAGGAGAATGAATGCTGCATGCAGATTCTAGCCAAGGAATAGGGCATAAAAACACTATGAAACAGCGACTATCGTCTTTTGTTGCACGACAGAAAAACCATCGAACATTAAATGTAACTGGAGGCAAGATATTGCCTTCATCAAGGTACCCACTGCTGTCAGAGTTTGTTTGGAATTGCGACACTGTAGAGTTACATAACTTATGTCACAAGAAATGGGATGTCAGCAGCATTTGTTGTGGGCGAGAAATCCCGATCCGTGAAAAAAAATCTGCATTCGTGCTACTCTCAAACCCTGCATTCTACGTCGGCAAGTGTTCTAACAGAGCCGTGCAAATGCTTGAAACTGCTTTGGGAAACTACTCTACACAGGTGTTTTGTTGGGTGAGGAGGCTTGGTAGCAGGTGTAATAAAGTTGAACCATTTACAGGGTTGAGACAGCTGCGAATATTGCGTATTTCGGATATGTTTTCGTTTTCTTGCACTAAGCTGCTCCAAAAGCATAAAAATAGCGAAAAATGGGCCGAACTGCTCTGAAACAAGCAAGAACTTTGGTGCCAGCCTCAGCTGCAGTAGGGAAAAAAGGCTGAGTTGGCTACATTATTTCCCGAGCAGCACCAAAAATACCTAGAAAAGAAGATGCGCCCTAGAGTGTTTTTTTACTTTGCACCTTTCTGGTGACAAAGGCTTCCACGGTGCCGCCGTAATCTTCTCTGGACTGTTGTAAATATGCATGAGCGTGCAAAAATGTGCTGTCGTGCATCAAGCGTGCTGGTTCTGCTAGCTGGACTGCGTGTTCTGGCGCCACTGTCATTTAGCCAAAACCACCAAGTTAGCCCACCCTAATCGAGTGGCACGCATAGCGGAGTTTTGACTCTCAGGTTCTTCGTTGTGTGTAGCACGTTGCTCTGGTCGTCGTGGCTTTCATGTCCACGCTTAACAGTTACCTACGCCCACTCGTGCCACACATCGCTGTCTGCAGGTAGCGAGAGACCCACTTAATAGCAGCACTAAATACTCGTCTACAGTGCACTGTATGAAACTTGCACGATTCTACAAACCCGTGGTGCACAGAGCCCGTAGTGTTCAAACCAGTTTAAACGGGCACCTTGGCGCTTTGTTCGTGACTCATGACGAGTCTGAAATCATGTGGCACAGTTTTCATGAACAGGGATTTTCAATACTCCGTTTTGTAATTGCAACTCTCAACGAGCGCTTTGAGAGGCGTCGCTGCGTGCCGGCTCTGGGCCACACGAGCTTTAGGCTTAGCTTTATGTTTGACTGGTGTTTCGGTGGCGACCGTTCCACAGTGTGACTGGCATGCTTCTTTTTTTCTTTTCTCAAATCTGGCCTCTGTCTGTTCGGCGATTTGTTTGCGTGGACCGCAGGGCGGTGCGGGTGGCAATCGCAAGTTGATGGCCATCGATATTGAAGAAAATAGAACAGGCTAACGTGGGCAGTGCTAATAATGCGTGGTTGCACGTGTCAAGAGGCGTTGTCACCTAGTACTATCTGCTTATCACTTGAGGTTCTTGAGCTTAGTTACAAGAAATTCTGTGAAAGCAGGACAGCTTTCACAAATTGCAAGAAGGGCTAGCGGCATCGCTATCGATTTTCAGCGTTGCTGGAGGAAAGGGACATCTGTGCTCGGAGCCTTTCAGATTGAAAAATGCTGTCTATAAAATAACTATGTGCTTTTGGGATTAACTACTACAGCGATACTGCTACGAAGGATGAGCTTTTTGTCACTCTATAAAAAAAAAAGGGGGGGGGGGGAAGACATATCACTCGTCGGTCTATTTAAGCAAAAAGGATGCTTCATATTCTCTACTTGGGCTATATGGGTTGCTAGTTAACACTCCTAGAGTTACACATCCGCAAACATACAGGAAAATGGATTGGGAGCAGCTGCTGTTATAGCACGGTGGGTAAGGAGAAGATTGGAGGTTTTCGTCCCATTGATTGCAAGTTGTTATTTGGCCCTCTTGACATTTTTTATTTTTCATTTTTTACACATCTTTTAAGAACTGAAAATGACTTCCCCATGTGAATTTCTGGACTTTATAAGAGTTTTGTGCAGGTTTACGAGGCTGCAAATGGGAAAGGTAGTCAAGAAATCACGAAAAGTAGCTAGAAAGTAGCCAACCCGAACATATCAAAGCAGAAGCTGGCAAAGTTCTCTCCGAACTTCATTATTAAAAGTGAGATTACAAGACCATCAGACATTCTGTGCATAAAGGCAGCTTTAGTGATAGCTGTCAATGAGGAAAACTCGCTTGACCTCTGCATTTGATCTTGACAGGACAAGCAGCTTTATTGCTCCGATTGCAAGTTGTGCCATAGTGTTTCTGGCGGACAAATATTTAGTTCTGTATCTTTGTCGAGAAATCTACCACTGGTTTAACCAGCCCTTGCACTTGTAGACACCGCAGCTCCCACTCCAGCTAACGCTGCACACATAAGAATTTTTGGATTCTCTGGCTGAAATGAAAGTGTCTGCATTCGAATGGTGATGATGATGGACATAATTTAAAATGCCATGGTTTTGTGTATGCTATGTATTTTATGGAAAACTTTATTGAACTCCTGAGGATCAGTCCAGAACTGATGCTGGCTGCTCCCACGTTAGGACATAGAGGCCAAGCCCCTCTGCCGCCACACAGGCCCTTTCGACAGCCCTGAGTTGGTCCGCCAGCATGTCGCTGTGCAGCATTCGCTGCCATCACTGTTCACCATGAGAAGTCGCAGTGGGCATTGCCGAGCAGCGCCAGAGCATGTGTTCAAAATTGATTAAGCCCCCATTCTTACTACAATAAATTGAAGCCCCACAGTCTAGATTAACTTTATTCATGACGACCGGGTTGGGGTGCGTCCGCATCTGCAAAAGTTTTAATGTAATTGCCTGTGGCCCGTTAAGTCTATAATGTGGCTAGGGGAATTGCCTGCGTTCTAAGTAATAATGTTTAGTTATATCATTGTACATTAACAGCTGGTCCCAAAAACTCCGGAGTGACAGATTCAGCTGCCTCAGCAATTGCACGGCACACTAATCCTCGTGCCTCCCTGTGCGCCAGCTCGTTGAGGTTATGGGGGGCTCATTCCGCTGACCCCATGTGCGCCGGAAACCAATTAATGGTATGCTGGGTGATATTCTTACCCTGCAGCAGCCTGTAAGCCGGTTCGCTAATAACTCCCCTCAAGAAGTCCTTAATTGCTGAGTGAGAGCCACTAAATACTGAAGCTTCCTGAATCAATGAGTGCTAGGGCAAAAGTCACCTGCTCAGCGACCCTCGGATCTTTCGTATAAATGGAAGTGGTATTTCGAACGCTCCTTTTCCCATTTACCATCACCACCAAATAAGCATCTTTCCTATGCTGCGTCAACCAACGCAGACTCTTCCTCCTGATCCTTTGCCTCGCGCAAAAAAGCCCTTGCTCTCGCCATTCGCCTCCCTACATTATGCACAGGGTGCACATTTTGCGGGAAAGGATGAACCATGATATTAGCCCTGATGTTCATTGTTAACTCGTATAGGCGCACACCATCACGAGTCGCCACCGATTCTCCGATTGACTGCAAGATATACCTACCAGCTGGCGTACCCAGCAACCACTCTCTCTGTGCTATACGCTGAGCCTCGGCAATTTCATCAAGAGTATTATGTAAGTCCAGCCGCAACAACATATCATTTGACGTACTCAGAGGCAAACAGAGTGCTGCCTTATCGAATTTTCTAATTAAAGCTTCCAATGTGTCTTTCTCTTTTTCCAATTTAGCATATCAGCTACATACTAAAAATGGCACAAAATAAAAGCCTGAACCAAACGCATCGCACCTTCTTTTCATAGAGATCCTTCGGATAAGTCTTATGGCCTCCTGTGTCTTCTTGGTGATACGCTGAATAGTTATACTATTCGATCCATTTGCTTTAATTACAAAACTAAGGACCCTAATAGCATTGACTTTTGGTACCAATGACCCATTGCTAGTACGACTGCGATGCAATCTCAACTTTCGGTACCCAATTCTTCGGCCTACGACCTAACTTTTTCGATTTCAAGATTAACAACTCTGACTTTTCAGAGGTGCCTTTGAGTCCTATACGAGTTAAAGAGTTTTCTGTAAGCATTACCACCTCCTGCAGCCTAGCCGCAAGCTCTCCGTCACTACCACCAACACTCCATTCTGCGACGTCGTCCGCGTATATAGCCAGTACCCTCGACAGTGTCCAGTACGTTGGCTAGCTTTGACATCACCAGATTGAACAACATTGGCCAGAGTACGGATCCTTGTGGTGTACCACGACAACCCAACTTGTAGACTGCAGACTTGATCTCCCCCTACTTGAGACATGTCCTTCTATCCTCATGGAAAGCCTTAACAAACAGAAAGAGCCGTTACCCCAGATTCAAGTCTGACAGCACCTGTAGCATAAAGGAGTGTCGGAGATGGTCGAAAGCTTTTTCCACATCAAGTCCAAGTAGTACCTTAGTGTTTCTTGTCCGCCAATCAAGTAAGTAATGCTCAATTCTGAGCATAGCATCTTGAGTCGAGAGGCCGGAATGAAAACCTATAATCGAGTGCGAAAAGACACCATAGTCCTCAACATAACGTGTCGGCCTATTTAAAATGACATGCTCAGCAACTTTCCCCAAACACGATGTTAGTGGAATTGGTCTGAGATTTTCCAGCCCTACGCTCTTGCCTTGTTTCGATATGCGAACAGTAGTCGCAAGTTTCCACTCATCTGGGAAAGATCCTTGCTTCCATAGGCTATTTATCTCCCGCGTAAGGAACTCAATAGACCCCTCGTCTAACGTCCTTAACATTTTATTAGAAATGCCATCCGGCCCTGATGCCGATCGACTTAAGATCCTGCAATGCCATCCTTGTATCACTTTCATTAAATTGCTTATCAATAAATGTATTCTCATTTCTACTATATTCCAAAAGAACATCAGATGTAGCCTGGCAGGTTTGCAGTGTAAGGTATCTCTCAGCTAATTCTTCAGCACCTCTTTCTCTTATGAGTTTCGGCACGCCTCGTGGACCAGCTCACCAATCACCGTCCTCTGATTAGACTTAGAATTAGTCTCATCAGTAAATGTCTGAGTAAATTCCAGGCGCCCCCCTTTTGATACCACCATCCACAGCATTGCATACCTTATCCCATTGCTGCTTGCACAATACCTGACAGTGGTCCTTCAATTTCTTTATTAACCATTGCTATACGCTTTCTAAGCCTTCTGTTGAACCTGCTGACCCTTCCGTCTCGCCAACAGTGACTGCTTCGCTTCCAACAAGTGTGCCAGACGACTATCGATTTGATTTGTGTCCATATCTGTTTAAGTTATTTATAGGTTGCCTCAACGTAACTCTTGAGCTGACTAGTCTACTGTTCCAAGGTCAACTCATTGCCCTGATCTTCGTATCTTTGTTCTCTTCCGTTTCCTAAATGCATCCCAGTCAACAAGATTAAATGTTTGCTCCCTTTTAGGAGCCACCTCTAAAGTAATCATAAGTATGTAATGATCACTGCCAAAATCTATATTAGAATTTCACCAGGATGAATCCACCACCTCACGAACAAAAGCAAGATCTGGTGTCGAATCTTTACATGTCGACGTGCTGCAACGAATTGGATGAAGAAGGTTTTGTAATGAGAGATAAATTTAAGTCTAGTGCTTGTTACCATAGTCTCTCGCCTTTGGCTGTGCTATAGACATACTTCCACACAAGTTAGGTCACATTAAAGTCCCGTCCAATAAGCAACGGTGCATCCTTAGCGAGATTGGCTGCCTTGCTCGAGAGAGCTTTGAAACTCTGTTTCGTGTCGCTGGGGCTGCTGTACAAGTTAAGCAGGTTAACACTCCTCTGACTTGCTCCTTGCCGACCTAAAATTACCTCAACCATAATATATTAATTCCTGCAATCCGCCATGTGAAGATCATGCCTAACATACGCCAACCTTCTACTGCGAGCCCTCTGCCCTTCTCATCATCTTTAACCTTCGCTTTGAAACCGGTCAAAGTTATGCTAAACATCAGAGTTTTCTGCAACATGATAACCTCAGGTTTCACATTGCTTGTTCTAACGAACTGCTGCAGGGATGCCTTCTTATCATTGAACCCTCTACGATTCCACTGCCAAATACCAAATGAACTATTTAATGAAGCCGCCATCTTGGCTATGTAAATTTGGTTTACTCATATTGAGTTACATTCCTCTAGGGAACTTGTCCTGCTGGGTGAGTGGCTGAGAGCACTCCCGCTCTATAGCAGGAGCCACTGTCTCGTTAAGATATACTTCAATTTTACCTAATCTTTGATCCATGATATTTTCTCTCTCTTCTATCCACTCCAATCTAATATTGATCCGATATATACTTTCCTGCAATGTCACCATCATTTCTTTAAGCTCAGAAGCAACCTTGGCCTGGGCCCGCACAATGGCATAAATATTTTCTAAAGTTAAAAAGTGCTAGCTGTTGGGCCAGCTGGTGCACCACCCACTTCAAAGACGAGGTGCCAGCGAAAACACGGGAACACGTGCACAAAAAGAAGGCGGTACACACAGACAAATGCTGGACAAACGCCCTGCATTCATCTGTATGTACCACCTTCTTGTGTACGTGTTTCTGTGTTTTTGCTGGCTCCCTCTCTTTGAAGTCCATGGTGCTAAAGTTGCTGCATATTATGTGCCACACATATTTCTTTTCATATTTGATGATGAGTGCGCTTCGAGATAGGTAATAGTGCATTTCAAGTTGTAAAAGACTATGTCTACTTAGGGCAGGTAATAATCGCGGAGCCGAACCATGAGATTGAAGTAACTAGAAGAATAAGAATGGGGTGGAGCACATTTGGCAAGCACTCTCATATTATGACAGGTAGATTGCCACTATCCCTCAAGAGGAAGGTATATAACAGCTGTATCTTGCCGGTACTTAGCTACGGAGCAGAAACCTGGAGACTTACAAAGAGGGTTCAGCTTAAATTGAGGACGACACAGCGAGCAATGGAAAGAAAAATGGTAGGTGTAACCTTAAGAGACAAGAAGAGAGCAGAGTGGATTAGGGAACAAGCGGGAGTTAAGGATATCATAGCTGAAATCAAGAAGAAATGGACATGGGCCGGGCATGTAGCGCGTAGACAGGATAACCGCTGGTCGTTAAGGGTAACTAACTGGATTCCCAGAGAAGGCAAGCGGGTTAGGGGGAGACAGAAGGTTAGGTGGGCAGATGAGATTAAGAAGTTTGCGGGTATAAATTGGCAGCAGCAAGCACAGGACCGGGTTAACTGGCGGAACATGGGAGAGGCCTTTGTCCTGCAGTGGACGTAGTCAGGCTTATGATGATGATGATGCAGTATTTAAAAAGTATCTAAAGAGTATAATTAGCGAAGACGAAGCTCTTCCTACCGAAAGCCTGAAGTTATACCAATTCGGCACCATGTTACGAAATCTAGAAACCTTGGCAGTGTGCAATAAAAAAGGACTCTCCTATCATTTTCATTTTTTTGCTTATTACATAGGAAACTGTTTCTTGTAAGCGTGATGCATATGTGCATAAGTGTGGATGGTTTTGTCTGGAATGCGTGAAGAATGGTAAGATTTGTTGCTGAAGACACATCGCTGACAACAATTTTGATCCCTTTGAATAAAAAAAACATAGACAGGTACCATCTCTATTTTGTTGTCATACAGCCTATGGTACGGGTGAAATGCTTTTGTATTTTTGTAGTATTGTTGGGCTTCACTAAAGAAAGAATGTGAAAAACATAGCCTATATTATCTTTTGACTCTCCTCGTATGCAGTGGGATCCTAACTCACCGTCACGCCTGTGGCCATGCTCCTGCAATGAGCCAAGTCAACCTGCAACAGAGAACCAGCTACACTGTCAAGGTCTGGACTCCTTGCAAGGCAAGGTTAGTGACAGTGCCTGTTCCCACTTCTGTTTATTTTTTTTTTCTTGCGCTTGGGGTTTTAAGTATACAAATATTTCTGTATATGAACATGTTTTACTGTTTCAGCTCTTTAGTGAGAGAGAGATAAGTGTTCCTGATGCACAGCAGCAAGGTTACAAAGCATTACAGGGGTGGAAGGGCTGATCTAATTGCCCCATGCTGTGCCAATCGGACCTGCTGTACCAAGCCGTGCCTAAACGGCAATTCACGCATGCTACGCCAAATTTAGTCTAAGAGTTCTATCATTGGCCGAGCAACAAGCATGGGCTACGCGAAGGAACGCAACCATGTCCATACAAAATTCCAGCATTCATATCAAACGTCGTATTTCGGATCATGCATGAACCTTGTGCCACGTTAACACAATGCATGATTCTTGCTAAGGTGGCGTTTGTGTGCATACCTTATTATGCGACTCTATATACACTCAAACTTCGTTATGATGTAATAGGATATAACAAAATAATGGATATATCGAAGTAAATGAAATTCCCCTTGAAAGTTCTATTGATAACAATGCATTTTAAACCTTATTTCAATGAAGTAAAATTGACTGGTAAATGAATATAACGAACTAAATTGGTCTATCAAATAGTCTATACAAAAAACCGACCGTAGTACGTTAAGTATATGTTTTTTTTTTTGCGGAGTTTGACGCTCATTTAATAAATATGAATTTCGGGTAAGTCTGGATCAGCATTGCATGCTCAGAAAAAAACCACTGATTTTTTTTGTTTACCAGAGAGCAAACATTGTAAATAACAGTGATGTATTGCGCGAAAAATCTGCTCTAAAACGAAATTTCATGCTTCAAAGCATACCTTTTGCTGCTCCAGAGCTGCTCCAAAACTCCCTATTCACTGCTTCGAAGCTGTTCCAAAACTGCATTATTCCAGCTCCCAAAGCTTCTCCACAATACTGAAACCCGCTTCTACCCCTGAGCATACTAAAATAATAAGGAGCTATTAAGTTATAAATCTTGGACATACTTCAATCACCTTGGTTTCTGTGTTCCTTTCCCCAGATGATCTGGTTATTTGTGATAATCCATATCAGCAGCACCAAACCAATCTCTAAATAAAGTTGAACAGAAGTTTAAATGAAACAAGTGCAAAATTCAGTGTTTTTGTAAAATGTTTAAGTAGTAAAGTAATGATGGATGGATGGAAAGTCCTTTATTGAAAAAAAAGAAAGAAAAGGAGGCACAGGACCTCTGTAGGGATAAGCAGGATTTTCTAACTATATTACTAGTTCACAGTATCATGGGTTTCACACTATTGTATTCACCATCACTGGTACCTGAGGCGGTATAGGATCAGTACTGTGGTTTGTCGGACCCGCCTAAACCACTCTGATCAGGCCGCTCTGACTTTCATATTGGGCAAATAATAACTGTATGTCCGGGTCCGTAAGGAGCGCTTCACGATAATTTGTGGTTTATAAAGCTTGTATGGCCATTCGCTCTTTTCAAATGCAGAACACTGCCACAGTAAGTGGTGAAGGTCTGCGCGGCAGCGCAGCCCGCAGTGATTGCACGTCACTGTCGCAATGTCCGGTTGACGCCATTTTGCTAAAGAGTATGGCGTGTATGCAGAATTCGCGTAGGCCTTATTAATGAAGACTTCTTGGGAGCGTGGAAAGCGGACATTTGCTGGAAAATAGGATAGGTGGGGCAATCCTGCGCAATGCGTTTTTTACTAGCATGACGCAGGGACCTGCGTACAGTAGTGCATTTTGGACTACCGAGGGAGCCAGTTTGACTTAGGAGCTCATACAGGGTTCACCCTGTGAACCTGAGGGGTGGGGGCAGAGAAAGATTGGTCGACCCACCTGCGGAAGCAGCAGCGGCGTGTGCTGCCGTATTGCCCCCGGGCACAGCCGTATGCCCCGGCATCCAGATAATTTCTGTTGGCCTGCCGGCTTTTTCATGCCTACGAATGATGCTTTGAATAGCAGCAGCTGTAGCATTCTCCGACGCTGGGCGAAATATTTCCGAGTAGGCAGCGTGCGAGTTGGTAAAGACCCGAAGGGGTTTCTGTATAGTGTAAGGGAGGCTTGCAGTCGCTCCTCATATGGCAAGCAGTTCGACATGCATAGGGGTACCGTTCGGTAGATGGCACCTGTAGGCCCCAGTGTACTGGGTGGTCTGCGCGCAGATCCATGCCATACAAGCTTCGCCATCGGAAAGGGCAGCGTCCGTGTATATGTCCATGGTATCTAAGCTCGCTTCCCTGAGTTGTCGCGGGGCAAGAAACTGGCGGGCAGTATTATTGTGACGAGATATGGGGCGACAGAACAGTTGAGAGGCTATTGGAGTTTCCCATGGGGGTAAGAACTGATTAAAAAGAGGTGCATCATCATGCCGCTGACAATTCCAGGCCAGAAGGTGACGACCTTGCGGCATGTTTTCCAGGCGGGTGTGGTGTTGTGTTGGCTTCATGGATGATGTCTTGCAGAGGGGGCCAGCCCCCTGCGCTTTCAAGGGCGGATATTTAGTGTGTTTAGGGAGGTCCGTGATGGTACGGAGAGTAGCCCGATGAAGCGTTCCAATTTTGGATGTCCTGTTGGAGAGAACGTGTATATGGGTGCGCCTGTACAAAATCTTTCAACGGCCTCAGCTCTTGAAAAGGTGCGACAGGCTTGTTTTCGTCCACCTCTGTATTTGTTGGACAGACGACGTATCATTTGTAACGTGGCTGGCCATGCCTGCCGCAGTCCACGTACCCACTTCTGTGGGCTGTTGCAGCTGGCTATTGGCAAACCTAAAACTTTGATTTGTCCGTTCTTTGATTGTATAGTGTGTGATCCAATATGGAGTGAGATGCACATTTTCGGGTTGGTGCAATTCTTGCCGTCTATGCTTATAAGTTCCGTCTTATGTGGAGTAAGCTGCAGGCCTACTTCCTTAAGAGTGGATTCTAAACTAAGGAGGGCTGCCTGCAGCTCGGTCTGCATTGATTCTTTGTCAGAAATAATCCACTGCCTCTGTCCATATAGTAATATTATCGGCGTAGATGGCAAATCTAGCCGTGGTGTGCCCGTTCAAGGTTTTCTGCTACCCTGCTCATGGCCAGATTAAACAGCGTTGGTCCTAAAATAGATCCCTGTGCAACACCTCTGTCCAAGTAGTAAGTTTTCGGGCTCCATCCAGGTGATGCACCGCTTAAGCGAATGGGCCGAGCTGCAAGGAAATTTCGAATCCATGTCTGCGCACGCTGACTTGGGTAGCGCTTAGCTAGTTCTTCAAGAATGGCGTTATGGTGAAGCATTATCGAGTGCTTTCTGCATGTCGATGGCCAGCAAGTAGTCAGGTAACATCTTTCTTGAGGTACGATTGATATACGCACCGTAGAAGCCAAAGGCAGTCATGGGTGCCGAGGTTAGGGCGGAAACCCGCCTGGGCTGGATGGTATCCCGGCCGGGTTATCTCGAGGTAATGGGATATGCGTGTGTGAATCATGCGTTCAATGAGCTTACATAAAGTAGAGGTTAAAGATATTGGCCGGAGGTTCTTGCAGAGGGTCTTCTCTTTTCCATGTTTCGGAATAGGATAAATGAGAGACAGCTTAAGGTTCTCCGGAACATTTCCTGAGGCCCCAGAGGTTATTGATTACCGCCAAAAGTGCGTCCTGGGCTTCATCTCCGAGGTTGCGGAGTTCTTGCCATGGGATTCAGTCGTGGCCAGGCGCCGATAGCGGATGCCCGTGTTTGATGGCTGCTAGCATTTCTTTCATGCTAAATGGGCGATCGAGATTCGGATCAGGTTGCGTTATGGTGCAGGCTCGGTGATGTAGGCGGAGTGAGTGAAGCGTGAGGAAAGAAAGTGGTAATAACTTCGTCTTCCACAACTGACGGATCTGCTTTGAGGAACAGCTCGGCCAAAGGAGGGTTGACCTTTCCTTTCTCGCTGAGGCTACGAAAAATGCGCCATAGACCTTGGAGGCCCGGTACACGGCCAAGGCGTTCGCAGGTGGATTGCCAGGCTTCACTTTAAGTTGGAGCTGATATTCATTGATAAGCCTAAATTGGTGCTTAATTTTCATGAGGTCAGAGTGTCGTTTGCCTTGCGAGCGGTATCTTCTGACTAAATAGTCTGCTGCTTTCCATAAATTGCCTAAATGGTTATCCATCGGCTGAGTATGGTCTTCGCATGGCACTGTTTCGCGTGCCAGCTCACGGGCCTGTTGAACAATCTCCAGAAGGCCCTCAACTGTCGAGAATGATCCAGTAACATTACTACGAAAAGTATTCCAATTAGTCATCGTTGTTGTTTTGATCTGGAGGCGTTTTTGATGAAGTGCCACGAATATCGGGAGATGATCACTTCCCAATGACTGGCCTGAGACTGTCCAGTGCTGTACAATTGGGGGGGCTGGCGAGGGTAAGATCTGGGGGTCCTGTCTCTTTGCGCTCTATGTAGTCCTATTCTTGTAGGGGTGTCGGGGGCGTTACAAATTTCCACAGAAGAGAGTTCAATAGCGTCGTAAAGATATTTTCCGCGTTTATTCGGCTTTCAGGCACCCCAGGCAGGGTGATGAGCATTGAAATCACTCCCAATGAGCAGAGGGAGGTTTTTAGATGCTTGCTAAAGCGTCTAAAGCCATGTGTATGGTCCAACTGAAATATTTCCTGGGCGAAAATATTCGTGAACACGGATGACTTCATATTCAAGCACCAAGAGTCTGTATCAAATGTCAAAAGCAGCAGCTGTGTTTTGCCGAGCATGCGCACATAGGTGATTGTTGCCTGTTCACAGCGCAGATGCGCTTTGATGTACTCAATTGTTAGGCCGGGGCGTGATCTTTATCACCCCACGAGAGCTGCCGACTCCGTGTGGCTGAAGAGGTGATGTGTCGACATAAATTACTCGCACGCTATCATTGACTGTTGCCACTAAGCGTGAGAGTGTGCATAGTTTTCGGAAATGAGCTTCGTCACGCAGTGTGATCCGTACGCAGTTACTGGTTATATCAAAGCGGAGAATTGACATTTCTGCAATATAGGTTGACGGAGTGCTTTGCTCTATGGCGTCTGTAAGGGCTTGTTTCGAAATGTCTGTCACATGCACTTTGTTTAGCGGCCTAATCAAAACAGTATAGCGGGGCCGACTCACCCGTTCGGCGTACAGTCTGTTTGGTGACACTTGGCGTTGGTAGTACACGGCGTTATTCTTTTGTACCCCGTTGTCGAGAACTTTGGTGGTGCCGGTAGAAGAGCCCACAGCCGTGTCGTTGACACGAGGTCCGGTGGCCGATTCTGATGACAACATATACTGCGTTGCATCCATTGTCTCGTTTTCTTCAGATAGCGTTGGGAAATTGCTCAAGTTCACTGGAACGCTTGTGCATGCCGTGGTCGTTTTCGTAGTAGGCATCTTGAGATTTGGAGTGAAACGCGCCGGGCGTAACAGGTTCACCAGGCACGGCACGGCCGTGCGGACGCGGTGCGAACGCGGCCGCCGGCAGCTGTGCCCTTGGCCACGTTCGAAGCTGCTCTGAAGCTGCTCACTAGGCTTAGGGTGGTCAGGTCACAAAACACAGAGAAAAAGAGAAAAAGGTTCTCCAAAAACGCTGCCTGTGCAACACAGGCTCACCGTGTAAATGGCATTCACTTCTGCGGCAAGGAACTGTGGTCTATCAGTGGAAAAAACTGTTCAAACTGACAAGAAAACAGGGAGCCGAAGTCAGGCACGTCTGCCATCGTGGGCGCTCAGCAGCGCCCCCCCGTAAAGTAATGTATCATGCATTTTTGACTCCGTCAAGGTTTTACATGGTGAACAGGTTAGTATTGCAGCAGGACTTTGATTTGGGTGAGTTGGTACATTGTTAACTGGGAAAAACAGCACAAAAAAGATGAGGACATAATTGTAAGTTCAGCGCTTGTATGTGCACTGTGTTTCTGTGTCCTTGTCTTTTTTGCACTGTTTTTTCCAGCTAACAATAGTATTGTAGCATTTATTTTTGTGTATTGGGGCATCTTATTGATAATTTGCAATTAGAGACAAGTGTTCGTGCTGACAAAGCATTATTTAAGGTGGTTGGGCCAAGTGTTCTTTCAATTGCATTCTGTACACAGCAGTGGTTTGTCAGTGTAGTGCCAACGAGAAAGCATTTTTTACAGTTCAGAAGAACATGATGTTTGTGTTAGACTTTATGCTGAAAATTTAAAATACTTCTACAGTTTTTTTTTTGTCTCATGTGTTAATGTTACAGGTTGTAGGATGCACGCAGCCACTTGAGTCACAGGAACTAAAACGGGCTTCAGTTAGGATGCCTTTTGGAGCGTTTTGTGATGCACATGATCACCGGCTGCAACTGCACCACTGCTGTCCCCACTGTGGCGTCTTCTGCACCCAAGTGAGTTACACTTGTCTCATTGCCTGCAGTTCTTGAGGAGTAAAAATCTTATCGGGTCTTACGAATCATAGTGAACTTGTTCTTTCATGGAAATACTTTATTGTTGTTTTGTCAAGACAATGCACACCATTTTCATCTGTGGTGAGGCCAGGGGTGCAACAGCTGTGCAATTTGCGCCAATTAGATACAATTCCTCATTTTTGCGTTGAGCTTCGCCAAAACCATGAAATTGGCCGAAAGTACGCCATGCTGTGCCTAAATGCCCAACCAGCCTCAAAATGTTCTTAGTTGAACTAATTTGAGTGAGGAATGAAGGCCACGTTGGACACCTATAGTTTGCATCCTCAATCAGTTCGGGGATCTATGCGCGCCGACCCTTACCCTAAACAACGGTAGGACACTCTCGAAACGCAATTGACCAGATAAAGAACGCCGTGCGTCTATCAGTCTGTTGATCGAAGTGGAAACGACGCAACTTCAAAACAAAAATGTGTTGCTGTAGCCTGCAACACTTTGCGGCAAATAGGAATATCCTAGTCTGCAAACACGTCTATGGCACGTAACGAACTAAAACTGGAAGCGTATGCCACTGCTACTGTGTGCGAAACAACTTGACGTGCTGCAAACGCCCGCGTTGCCGGCGACCACGTTGGTTATGGTGCATTCAGACGGCGGACCGAATGCGGATTTGTCGTGGACGCGGACAACTAATCCGCGGATGGTCCGCCTGCAGGCGCATCCACACGACGGACGGTGTCCTAGGGGAAAACAGCCGGATTACCCTCGACAGCAGATTCGGCGCTCACCTGCGCCCGCTGGCAGCAGACCGGTTTGAGAGTATTCAACATGGATGCCCGCAAGAAGCGAAGCTTGGCTGCGATGTCTGTCGTGTTGTGACAAATGAACGAGTAGTGTTATTCTTTCAGGAGAAAATGGAGTTGCTAGCAGGATATTCTTTCAACTACATTATTCCCCACTTGTAGAACTTCTAAACGTGTATCCCGCCTTTTTTTAGAAGCGGCACGTCGCCGGTTGCAGAAGTTGGAATATTTCACCACCATGACGGCTAAGATTAATCTCGCGTGTTAAGCGACGGCGGCGACATTTCCCAAACCACCAAAAGTGATAGCAACGACACATACGATAAATAAGCTGTGCCGCCACTTTCCCAACGAGCGCATGCCGATGTTACCTTATCTAGCCAAATGCGCCTTACAAGTGAAGCGAAAAGTTGTACCCTGCACCTACCTAACTCTATCGTGGAAAAAAAAAGAAAGAAAAAAAGTGGAGGATGCTGTAGCAGTTCGAAAATTTGTTGGCCTTGTTCTAACCCATGCAGTGCGCTGCTTAGGCCACCTTTGCTTCAGTACATCGGTGTCCTTTGGGAAAGCATTTAAAGATGCGGAAGGGGCTGTTAGCATAAGTTAAGGGACACAGCACAGTTTGTTTAGTTATTCATGTGGGTATACGCAACATAATTGTGAATACTAGTATGATTTCGACGTCTAAAATAGTTGCTGGCAATGATTTGGAGCATTGTAAAGCATTTGTACAGCCCTAAAAAAACAAGTGTGCCATTTTTTTTTCTTTTTTGCCACCCTAACGTCATCAACTTGGCTGATTCACATTTGAATCCTCAGAGTCTGTCAAAAGATTTGAGTGACATGGCGAATGCTTATGTGAACTTTATCATTGTTTTCTGAGTGAGGTGACTCAAAATACTACTTTTTAAAGAAATTAGCAGTGCTCATATTCACTCTGCACGATTTAGGGGACTTTGAATGGTTTGTACATATCTTTTTTCTAAATGCAAGCCTTCTTTTTGATACTGCTCCAAATTTTGATTTTACAGCTCCAAAAGTAACATTTTGCTGCCCCGAAAATTTCTCCAAATTTTATTTCGACTGTTGCACCCCTGCGAGGCTTAATCACATCTTTCAAGCACAATATTATGGGTGCTTCATTTCTTGAAGTAATTTTGTTCGCTTGGGAATTTCTCCCTCCAAAAAGGTCTTGCTGTCAGAGATAGAAAGTTATTCTGATGGTGTGTTGCTTTTGTTAATCTTCTGTGGTTATTTAATGTTCACTAGCATGGTAATCACAAGTGTCTTTACAAGATATACTAATTTCTTCAGCCCTCTGTCTGTAGATGGAGTGCTGAAGAGTCGTGCGCGAGCCCATGCCTATTTCATAGTTCATGTGTTTTCCCTGCCTTGGTTTTTTTTCTTGAACATGCCTTGGTTTTTTTTTTCTTAGAACAAAACAACCAAGCAGATTTCAGCCAAGAGCAAATGCTTGATTTTGAGTTTATTTGATGCAAGCTACAACATGATGTCAATATTTTACTGATTTGAGCAAAAATAAAAAAGTTGGCTGAATAAAGGATCAATTAATTAGCACCTAGTCATGAAAAAAATACAGCTTGTAAGTACACGCGACTAGCACTAATATATAGCAGGTAGAACTTTTGCAAAACGCAGGCTTAAAAAAAAAAATCTTGGGCCAAGTTAGCTAACACACCATATATATATATTGTAACGAACAAATACAGTGCCGGAAGCTGAAACAGCTATTTATTAATGGCGAACTTGTGCCCGTCAACTAAATACACAAAGGTTGTGAGCTCACTGGTCAAAACCTCGTCAACCTCTCTTGCGTCTCGCCTTGAGCTGACCCCGAAAAACCGCCAGCGTTCCTTGTCCAGCGCGTGATGTGGTGACACCTGCAGCCAGCGTTGCATGGCGCATTTATAGCTTAGCGCGTACCGCCAGCGTTCCTTGTCCAGCGCGTGATGTGGTGACACGTGCAGCCAGCGTTGCATGGCGCGTTTATAGCTTGGCGCGTTTGGTTTGTCCGTTGGTGTGGCAGAATTCAAAGTAACAGGAAGCGGCGCAGAACTTCGGCAGGTGCCTAACAACATGCGGCATTAGTCCCCCTCCTAAAACGCATCGTCCCGATGCGTACGCTGACGTCGAACAGTTTTGTAAAGGAGTATTTATCTGATGTTTGAGCACATTTATCCGTTGTCTCGTTCAGTGCCTTTCGTAGTACGGTTTCATTCGTACTACATGTACGACTTCTGGGCGATTCCTGCGTCGGGTTGAGCACACTTGCCCTTCAGGAATTACTTCGTAGTTTAGCGTTCCTAACTGGCGAAGTACTTTGTAAGGGCCGAAATAGCGCCGCATCAGTTTTTCCGATAGGCCAGGTGCGCGTATAGGCGTTCACACCCACACTTTGTCTCCGGGATTGTACTGTACGTGTCTCCGCTTCAGATTATAGCGACTTGCATCGGAGCCTTGTTGCAAAATGATACGATGTCTTGCCAATTGCCGTGCCTCTTCTGCCCTTTCTATGTAGTCGCTGATGTGTGGGTCACTCTCATTCGAATCATTGACAGGTAACATCGCGTCTAAGGTCGTTGTGACCGTCCGACCATAAACAAGTTGAAATGGCGTGAAGTGTGTCGTTTCTTGTACTGCGGTATTATACGCAAATGTTGCATAAGGCAAAATACTGTCCCATGTCTGGTGCTCAACGTCCACATACATCGAGATCATGTCGGCGAGAGTTCTATTGAGCCTTTCGGTTAATCCGCTTGTTTGCGGATGGTATGCTGTAGTCCTTCTATGATCGGTGTGGGTGAGCTTCATAACAGACTGCATCAAACGGGCAGTAAATGCTGTTCCTTTGTCTTTAATGACAACCTGTGGTGCGCCATGTCGTAGTACAATCTGAGTGACGAAAAACTGGGCTACTTCGTTCGCCGTTCCTTTCGCGAGAGGTGATGTCTCAGCATATCGAGTCATGTAGTCTGTTGCTACAACAATCCAGCGCTTTCCCGATGAAGAGAGAGGAAATGGACCAAGCAAATCCATTCCCACTTGCTGAAATGGCCCTTTTGGTGGCTCTATTGGTTGCAACAGACCCGCTGGTTTCGATGGTGGTATTTTACGTCTCTGGCAATCGCGGCATGACTTAACATAATGGTGCACCGAATCCCTTAATTTCGGCCAATAATACTTCCGGCGAATTCTGGCCAAAGTGCGGCTACTACCTATACGGCCAGCCGATGGGTCGTCATGACACGCTTCTAAGATTTCTGCTCGCAGTGATGATGGTACAAGAAGCAGAAACGTCTCACCGGTGTTTACGAAGCTGCGCTTGTATAGGACGTCGTTCCGGAGGATATAGGATGTCAAACCGCAGACGAAAACTCGTGGTACCTCAATTTGGTGACCCTCCAAGTATTGGATAAGCGGGCGTAGTTCCGGGTCCTCTCGCTGAAGACGAGCCATCTCCGACACATTCAGAACTCCAAGAAATGGGATGTCTTGTTCTTGGTCAGATGATGGAGACTCAACAGGTGCGCGAGACAGGCAATCCGCGTCATTGTGCTTGAGACCGGACTTGTAGACCACAGTGATGTCGTGTTCCTGCAGACGCAGGCTCCATCTAGCAAGCCTTCCTGAAGGGTCCTTGATGTTTGCCAGCCAACACAATGAATGATGATCACTGATTGCTCGAAACAGTCTGCCGTAGAAGTATGGGCGAAACTTGCTGATGGCCCATATAACTGCGAGACACTCTTTCTCTGTCGCTGAGTAATTAGACTCAGCATTTGATAGAGTGCGGCTCGCGTAAGCAATGACCTTTTCTTCTCCATTCTGCCGCTGAACGAGGATGGCACAAAGGCCAACGTTACTCGCGTCGGTATGTAGTCTGTATCGGCCTCTTCGTCAAAATGGGCAAGTATTGGAGGAGACTGCAAACGGCGTCGCAACTCTGAGAAAGCCGCTTCTTGTTTGTCCCGCCAAGAGAATGGTACACTTTCTTTTGTTAGCCGTGTCAAAGGCTCAGCGACCTTAGCAAAGTTTTCAACAAAGCGTCTGTAGTAGGCACATAGTCCCAGGAATCGTCTGACGGCCTTTTTGTCTTGCGGTTTCGGAAAATTTTCAACTGCTGCAATCTTTTCCGGGTCGGGGCGGACGCCTTTTGCA